GTGGGCCTGGAGCACTTCTCCTATGGAACAGGCTGAGAGGAATTGTTCAGCATGGAGAAGAGAAGGGTCTGGCTAGGCCTTAGAGCACCTTCCGGTACTTAAAGGGGTTACAAGATGGAGAGAAACTTTTACAAGGGCCCGTAGTGACAGGACAAGTAGACATGGCTTTAAATGGAAAAAGAGTGGGTCTATATTAAATATTAGGAAGAAACTCTTTACTGTGAGAGTCATGAGGCACTGGCACAGGTTTTCCAGAGAATTTTTGAATGCCCCATCCCTGGAAGTGTTCAAGGCCAGGTTGGATGGGGCTCTGAGGAACCTGGTCTAGTGGAAGATGTCCCTGCCCATGGCAAAGGGGTTGGGACTAGATGATCTTTAAGGTGCCTTCCAACCCAAACTGTTTCATGATTCTATGAGTCAGCTGTCCTGGCCATGCTCCTCCCAGCTTTTTGTGCACTTCCTCACTGGCAGAGCATGAGACACTGAAAAGTCCTTGACTAAGGGTAAGCACTACTTAGCAACAACCAAAACATCAGTATATGTCTCAACATTTTTCTCATACTGTATCCAAAACAGAACACTGTACCAGCTACTAAGAAAAAATGAACTCTGTGCTAGCCAAAACCAGGACACCATGGCAGGCGGCTGGGAACTAGATGAGCTTCAAGGTCACTTCCAACCTAACTATTTTATGATTCTGTGATTCTCTGATCATCACCCAAACACATGATCAAGCCAAAATGTGTAGGGAGAATTAATAAATAAATACATCAAGCTATTTAACATGAATATTAACAGTCTTGACAAAGCCTGATCCTTAAGGGTTCATAGTTAAAAAATAAAAGAGTGATCTGGTTAGGAAAAAATATTTTTAAGTTGCCCATTTGCTTAGTAGTCCATGATGAGATTTTTGTCTGAAATTATCTTTTTTCGTTCAAATAGAATATGAGGTTATATGCTTATCTGGTAAGGTGCATTTCAGCCTATGTTATCTGTGCACGTTAAGTAGAAGTTAGCATGTGAACAGTACTTTTGAAGACACAGGTTAAAAAACAATCCAGTGTAAGTAATTTATCCCTATCTGGTTGTAGGTTTCCAAAGTTACAGTACAGGACACATTTAAGCTTATAGGGCTTCTGTGTGCCTGTCTCTGTGCTGGGCAGGGAAGCACCCTGAGAGATCAGACACAGCTAAGAGCCAAGTATTCCCCTACAGCATTTTTCAGAGAGATCAGGTCTTCAAACCTTTTTGTTGTACATCTGCTGTGTGGACACTGGCAAAAGAGAGGAAGAAGGTGGGAAAGGGAAAATAGATGAAGAGGAGATGACAAATTTTGGTTCTAGTGTAGTGCCAGGCCAGATCCCTGTCAAACTCCTGAGAGACTGAGGAGGCTGGAGTTTTAAGTTGTCCCAAATGCATTGTACCAAATCTGAACAGCCTGCTCAGAGTTTTAATTTAATCTTTCCATGGTAAAATTGGTTCCCCATCAGAGGTGTGCATGTCACAGTTATTTGGCTTTGGAGTCTTCTGTGAATGTTTACAATTTCTTATCCAGGTTGTCTTCATACTGACATCTACAAAGCAGTTATGCCCCTCATGCATATTTTAAAAATAC